GTGAGGTGGGGACAGGAAACAGACAAGAACCAGCACTGCTAGGGAGGGGCATTGGGCAGTGGTGACATTTTGTGGGTCTGAATCCCTGCGTTTGCAGGTTCAGTACATCATTGCCCAGGACAGTGTACAACATTTGCTTCCGCACGAGTATGTTGTTGTCCCAGGGGGTCATCACATCCAGGTAAGGTTCAGGCTATCTGCTCCCCTGGTGTGGTGGATGGGCCTCCTGAGTGTGCACATGTGGGGCTGGGCCTCCTTCCTTCCTGTGGCTCGCTCTGCTCAAGCTGCACCTCTTTTGAGGGCATGGATACCCGATGGTCCTGACACAGCCTCACTGCAGCTCTCGTCTCCAGGTACAGGATGGTCAGATCACCCACATCCAGTACGAGCAGGGCAGCCAGTTCCTGCAGGAGCAGCAGGTGAGGGGCCGGGCCTGGTGGCTGTTGCAGATGGGCTGGAGAGGGAGGGGTGGTAAAGAGATGGTGCATGTGGGTTGGTGGCTCAGTGCAGGAGCCTCCTGTCCTCTCCTCCCTGCAGGTCCAGTACATGCCAGTCTCACCTGAGCAGCAGCTGGTCACGCAGGCACAGCTGGAGGCAGCGGCACACTCAGCAGTCTCAGGTAGGATCCCGGGGCCCGGAGCCAAGCTCTGGTGTAGCTCTGGCAGCTCCATCTCCCTCCAGGTCTTGGGGTGCTGCTCCTGCCAGGCAGTTTGTGAGGCCCTTTGGCAGCTGCTGCCATGCCATGGGCCCAGCCCAGCCCTGCTGCAGACGCTGCTCCTCTGCTGTAGCTGACGGGGCGGCTGTGCAGTGGCCCTTGGCCGGCAGGCTGGGGAGATGAGGCTCCACGGCTGCTTCGTTGCCTGAGTCCCTGTTGTTCTGGGAGGGGGCCAGCCCCCGTGTCTCATCTTTGCTGGCCCAGCTGTGGAGCAGCGCCAGCTCCCTTCCCCTGGAGCAGAGGTGCTGGGAGGTGCAGCAGCTTCCACAGGGTGGAGACGCCCTGATGTGTTCGTAGTGAAGCGGGGCTGGCTGTGAGCGCGGGGTCCCTTGTGCTCACGTCAGGCTCCTGCCTGCGGGCGTGCAGGGCCCCGGGCAGCCCCGCTCTGACCGCTCTCCTGTGCAGCAGTGGCTGACGCGGCCATGGCGCAGGCGCAGGGGCTGTTCGCGGCCGAGGCAGCGGCCGAGCAGATGCAGCAGCTGCAGGAGGGGATCCACTACGACGTCATCACGCTCACGGACTAGCACCAGGCCGGGACCCCGCACCGGGGCCCCCCACGCCGGCAGGAGCCTCCTCAGCAGTTGCCTTATTGCTTCAGGGCCATGGGGGCCGTGCCTGAGCTCTGCTGTGCCCAGTGAGGGTCCTGCGCATCGCCCCGGCACGGGCGGCTCCTCCACAGCACCCGCTCCGCGGGGGCAGCACTCGTCTGCGCAGGCTCTGCCTGGGGCACTGGATGCTCTGAACTCTTTTCCTGAATCATGTTTGCATGGGCCAGACTCAGCCCAGTATCTGCCTGGCACACCAGGGTCCGGCGGGGAGCTGTGGGGCCGAGCACAGCCTGGGGTGTGCTGCAGGAGGGTTGTGCAGCCACAGCCATGCGCTCCCTGCGTGCGGGGTACTTAGCCTTCCCTTGGCTTCTCCGGCCTGCAGGCAGGCAGCAGTGGGGCTTTGGACTGGAAGAACCCATAGCAGGACATGGCAGTGGGGGAAGATGCTTATGAATAAAAAGGGATTGAAACCTGTGCCTGTGTCTGCCTGAGGGGCCAGGGGCTTCCCCCTGCCTCTGCTGCTCGTCCCTGGGGAGCTTGAGCCTGGTGGTGGGGCCAGGCACATGGCGGCTGCACTCAGCTGTTGGCTTCCTCTGCCCGAGTGACCTTGACTGGTGGGAAGCGAGCCGGGCATCAGCTGCAGCGGTGGGCTTGGGGCTGGAGTCATGAAATTAATCGAGTGGTAAACAGCCTAAATCCCGTGTAACTCTGTCCCGGACTACAGCGGCCTCCCCTCCCTGAGCGGATTGTCTGGAAGTGTTTACATGTGATTATAACAGCTAATCTCAGAGTTTTAGTTGGGTGCTCTTGCATTAAACTGATTATCTGCAGAGGGGAAAAAGGTCCAGAACCACCCAACTTCAGTGCGAGGCAGCTGTGCCTGCCCCCGTGCCTGCCTGGCCGGGCTTCCCTCTCCAGCTGTGCCGAGCAGAGTTAAGGTCCGCTGCAGCATTCCCTAGATTACAGCCCCATTATCTAATAAATCAGATCCTTGGCCGCAGGCACTGATCAGGGATGGAGGAGTCCTATGGGGACAAGGTTACGGAGCCACTGTGGGGCCATGGCCAGGACTGGTCCCGTCCTGGCTGCCTGGTGGCTTCCATGGCTGTGGCTGCCAAGAGCAGCTGAGGTGGGGATGGGATGGACGGGGCAGAGCTCCCAGCTCCCACACGTGGGGAGCTCCGGGTCTTCTGGAGTGGCCAAAGCCACAGCGGGGGCTTGGGCCCCCTCAGTCCTGGCACCTCAGCCCTGGGACCTTGTGCTGTGAGCAGAGGCCTGCAGGGAGGCCAGGGATGTGGCAGGGCTCAGCAGCGCCGGTGACCTTCCCCTTCCCGTCCCGCCAGCACTAAGCGGGTTTGTTACATGTTTAATATCCTGAGAGCGTTATTATCGGTATTTAATGACGGATACAACCTGTGGGATAATCCCCGTCTTAGCGGGGGGGGCCCAGTGGCAGGAGCCGACGGCTCAGGGGGTCGCAGGCTCCCAGGGCCCCTCGCACAGCTGCCCACATCTGCCCTGCCTGCTCCCTGCCTGCCCACCACTGCCCTGCCTGCTGCCCCCTCGTGCAGGCGGGAACCCCACGGGGTGTCCCCCCCCAAAAAGGGTCCCCAAAGGGGCTGTGGTGCCCCCTTGCTCCTGGCAGCACTGGGGCTGGGTGAGGACCCCCTTGCTCCAGGGCAGCACCCAGCACCATGCACAAGTTCCCATCCTGCCACAACATGGGGGCTCTGCTGACCCCTGCCCAGGGCAGATCAGAGCTGGGGGCAAGGGCGGGCACTCACAGCCCTCGGCACTCAGCAGAACCACAGCGTGCCCTGTCCCACCTGTGTCCCCATGGCCATGGGTGTCTGTGGGACTCACATGAGCCCCATGCACCCCATCCCTGGGGGCTGTGCTGGGGCCATGCAGGGTTGGGGGGCCTTTGGACGCATCCTGGCCGGCGAGGGCTGGGGGGAGGCGGCTCCGTGCCGGTCCCTGGCCGGGGGGGGGGGTTGTATCGGCTGCCCCAGATCCCTGTGGCTGCTCCCGTGGGTGCTAATACCCCCTAATCAGCTGTCAGTCACCGCGGACCCCGGCAGCTATAAAACACCCCAGAGCTGCTCCCCGGCTCCGATCCCTGCACCATGGCGGCACCTCGGGGCCAGGGGAACCCAGGCCGAGAGCTGGGTGGCTGCGGGGGGCCATGGGGGGCCCTGCGGGGACCCCCCCAAGCCCTGCTGCCCTGCCCCTGCCCCGTGCTGGCCAGCTACAGCCTCCTGCCACCCCCCCTGACCCTCCTGGCACCCCTGGTAAGCGCCGCTTGGGGGGAACCGGGAATCGGGACCCCCTCCCAGGCCCCCAGCACCGGGCCGGGGCTGTGTGGGGTGGTTGGGGCTGGGGAGCTGCTGTCCTGGGCCCCCTGCACCCCCCGGCACTTTGGGGCGCACAGAGCCTGGCGCGGGGCCCGGGCCCCAGCCCCGTCCTGCCCAGACACCCTCTGCCCCCCAGGTCCATCCGGCCATCGAGGGGCCGCTGGGGCTGCCGGTGGAGCCAGGGCGGGCGAAGGCGGCAGCGGCGCGGGAGAGCACCGGGGCGCTGAAGGTGTGGCTGGCGCGGCACCCCCGGAACCCGTACCCCAGCAAGGGCGAGAAGGTGATGCTGGCCGTGGTGAGCAGGATGAGCCTCACCCAGGTCTCCACCTGGTTCGCCAACGCCCGCCGGCGCCTCAAGAAGGAGAACAAGGGGAGCTGGGCCCCGCGCAGCGCCTCGGACGGCGACGACAGCGAGAGCGAGGGGGGCCCGGGAGCACCCCCCGGCCCCGGGCCCGGCCCCAGCCCTGCGCAGGAGGGGAGTGGGGGCAGCCCCGAGGGGGGGGCGGGCCCTGGGCAGGGCAATGAGCCCTCAAAACCCAAGATCTGGAGCGTGGCGGCGATGCTGGCACCCAGCGAGAGTCGGGAGCAGGCATAGGGGGCTCGATAGGGAGGGGACAGCCCGGGGCTGAGCAGGGCAGGGCACAGGGACACAGCCCCGGCAGCTGCCCCGCTGAGCGGAGCGGGCGGTGCGGGACACGGAGAGCTAATAAATAAATGTCACTGTCCTGGGCATCCTGGTGCTGCCCGGCTGCGGCGGGGACGCTGGGGTCCAGTAAGGATCCAGGGTGCCGGTGGGGAGGTTGATGGGGATGCTGGCGGGATGGGGGCACCTCCACTGGTCAGCTCCCAGGGAGCCGGGCAGATCCTGACAGGAGCTGCTCGGGCTTCCCTCTGCGCAGGGTCACTCATGGGGTGGGCTCACGGGTGGGGCGCAGGGCTGGGGGTGCCCATTCCTGCCGCCACAGCGCAGGGAGGTACAGGCAAGCGCTGATGGGGATGTGGGAGGCACCACACAGGGGGTCACTGACCGGGACATCGGCTGCCAGGACCGGGCTCGGGCCCCTGTTCCGGGGCCGGGTTGTGGCAGGCGGCTCTGCACAGCCCCGGGGTGCAAACGGGGCCTGGGGAGCCAGGCAGGGAGAGGAGAAGGGAGCAGGGACCCCGGGGAGGCAGAGACAGGGCAGAGCTGCACCACGGAGTTTAATGCGCCGGAGAGCTGGAAACGGGCTCTGCCCGCGGCTGCGATTCCCCTCCTGGCGGCCGCTCCGCACTCAGCCCAGGTCCCGCTCTGCTGTGGAGGATGACGAGGGTCAAGGCTCTGGTCTGAGCGCTCGTGGGCTGCACCGAGCTCCTGCAGAAGCCCGCGCTGCTCTGCAAGGGGCAGCAGCAGGCACTGAGCATCTCCCCGTGGTCCAGACAGACCTCCAGGCTGGGTCAGCCGTGGGGCAGGAGCACCCATACACGGGACAACGCTCCAAGGTGCCCCAAACCTCCCCAGCGCGGCACAGAGCTCAGCAGGCAGGGTCAGGAGTGGGGGAACCCAAAGACCTCGCGGCACAGACACTGGCAGAGGCTGTAGATGATGCAGAGGAGGAGGGTGCAGGGCACGAGGCTGACGAGGACGATGCCCAGGCTGTGGTGCTCAATGAGCAGGAGGTAGATGCCGAAGGGCAGGGAGCTGAAGTAGAGCAGGCAGAGCACGCCCAGGATGAAGCGGGGCACGGCTCGCCACCCCCAGGAGCGGCACTTGTGGCCGGGGCCGCGGCAGGGCAGCGCGCCCAGGCTGGCCGGGCGGTACAACCGCACCACCTCCAGCCTGCCCAGCCCCTCGGGCGGCGACACGTCCTCCGGCACCTCCAGGATGGTGACCACCAGGCACTCGGGGCTGGGCGCGGGCTCCAGCACGCTGGGGCAGAGCAGGACCTCGGGGGAGCGGGGGGGGCCCCGCTGCTCGTCCCGCTCACAGCCCGTCAGCAGCGCCAGCGCCGCGCCGTCGTCCCGCAGCCGCTGCACGTCCCCACGGGGCACGGGGCTGTGCTGGCGGCAGAAGGGGCAGCGGAGCTGGCGGGGGGACGCGTCCCCCGGCGGCACCATCTTGCGCAGGCACCGGGCGCAGAGGCGGTGGCCGCAGCCGAGCACCTTGGGCCTGCGGGAGCGGGCGTCGTAGTGGCTGTAGCAGATCTTGCACTCCAGCTCGGCAGCCGCCAGCGCCGTCGTCCGAGGGCCGGGCTCGCCGTCCCGCTGCGCCATGCTCCCGGGGGGCGGGCCGGGGGCTGCCCGGGCTGGGGGCAGAGGGGACCCGCTCTGAGCTCCGAGGGCCGGTTCCCGGCTGGCCCCATTGGCAGGGTCCTGCCCAGCCCCAGGGGAGTACGGCACCGGCACCGGCACCGGCACCAGCAGCAGCCCCCTCCCAGGGCGGGCACAGCCTGGATCCAGGCACTGGGTGCTGCTGCCAGAGCTGGGGCTCAGCCGCATCCCTGCCTCGGGGTCTGGCTGGGAGGGAGGCATCGGCACCGGCTGCGGGGTGAGGGCCTTGGGCACGGATGCTCGTCCCTCCCCATGTGTGCAGGCTCCTGGGGCTTGGACACGGGCTCTGCTGACTGCAGGGACCGCCCTGCCTTTCACCCCCCCCAGCACCCTCCGTACCTGCGGTGTGCGCCGGGGCTCCGGGAGGGGACGCAGCCGTGGGTCGGTGTCCGTCGCGGAGGCAGGCGGGGGCCCGGTGGCAGCGGGCACCCCATGGGGAGGTGTGGGGCTGCTGCCCGCCACGCTGCGGAGGCCCTGGCGCAGGGGCTGCCGGCATCCAACGCGGCGTTGGCCTGGCAACGGAGAGCGGGAGGAGGATGCTCGGCCGGGGCCGGTGCTATGCGGAGCTCGGGTCAGGCTCACGCACACCGCGGGGCACAGCCGGGGCAGGGGGCTCCCCCGGGGCCCCTTACAGGCTGCAGGCAGTCGGTGCCGGGGGATCAGTGCAGCCTTGCGGCCCCTTTGCTCCTGGGCGGCCCTCAGGATGCTCCTTCCCTGCCTGCGGATGCCGGCAGCGGGGACCCTGCAGCCCTTGGCCCTGGGGACAGCACGGCCGCAGAGCGGGGTCCCGAGGCACCCCCAGCACTGGCACAGCCCCGGCTCTTCCCTGGCCTGGGAACGGTGGCTCCTGCTCAGCCCAGGGCACGAAGCGCCCCTGGGGAGGGCCCCACATGCCAGTCCCAGAGCCCAGCGGCAGCACCTCAGAAAGCAGGGCCTGGGGTGCAGAGAAATGCTCGCCCCTGCCAGTGTGTGCCCGGGCCCCTCACTCCACCCCCACAGCCCAGGAGCCGGGGCTGGGGGCACATTGGGGCTGCAGCACTTCCCAGATCCAGGCTGGAGACAGCCAAGGACATCCCTACCCCGGCCCTGATGGGCAGCAGCAATCAGAGCCCCCCCAGCCCAGGCAGGACAAACCCCGCTCCCAGCGCTGCCCCGCAGGAGGAGGGCAGCGACCCAGGGACCCCACACATGGAGCCAGACACGCCTGAGCCTGGATGCGCGGGCGGGCTCCAGCCCTCACCAGTGATGGGTCGGTCACTCACCCGCTGCCCTCAGCCCCCGGGCGCGGGACAGGGCGTCTGTGCCGCTCAGCAAGGAAATGAAGGGTTTGTCCCGAGCTCCATGAGCTGCCCTGTAATCAACGTCCACACCCTGACGAGCTCAGCTCTGGCCCACCCCAGAGCAGCCCCTGGCACTGGAGCTGCCCGGAGGAGCATGTCAGTTCACACCATGAGGGTCTGAGCGAGCTCGGGATAACCAGGGCCCGGGACACGTCCAGCTCCTGGGAGCGCTGGGCTCATCCCCCCAGTCCTGCCCATGCCCCCCAGTGTTCCCAGCTGTGCCCCTGGCTGCCCCCATCCCTGCAGCCCCTTGTACAGACCCGACTGGGTCCTGGGGTGCTCCTGCTCAGGATCCATCCCTCCCACTTGCTCAAGGGAAGCATCAGGGATGGCAGCAGCCACAAAACCCCCACGGTTCCACCTTCTGCTCTCTTTGCCTGGATAAACGAGATGTCCTGGAGGGGAAAGCACGGCGCTCCCTGGCCACTGAGCACTCACACCTCCATTGAGACCTCAGCAATGAAGCACTTAACAAGGCAATGGGCCAGCACCTGCAGACAGACCCCCAAGGAGCACTTGCTCATTCTCCCCAGGGCCCACGTCTCTGCTCACCTGTGCTTGAGGAACCAGCTGCCTCGGCTCAAAATAGTGAATAACAGGCAGAAAAGGTTTCCAAAGCTGCAGCTTTCAGTGCCAGGACTCGCAGCCCTCCCCAGGGCCAGGCGGTCTCAACGATCTCCTTGTCATGGAAAGGATCCCTGGAGAGCTGTGGGGATGCTGGGAATAGGTGGCACTTGGAGCCGGGCTCTTCCTGCCCTATCCAGAGGCAGGGAAACGCTCCAGAGGATTGCAGGAAAATCTGGGGCCCCAGGAAAGCTGGATCAGAGAATGACCATGGCTGTCAACCCCCGAGCCACCCTCACAGCCTCAGGCCAGGAGGGACCGGTGGCAGTGAGAGCTCCTTAGCCCAACAGTCAGGACATGGTGAGACCGAACGTAGGAGCTGAAGCAAGACCCCAGGGGGAAGTCGGGTGCATTCACCCCAGGAACCTCCCCTCTCACCAGGGCCATCAGGACCCCCCTTGCAAGGCGCCCAGGCAGGCTCTTGGCACGGCACCACCAGTGGCTTTGTGCCATGAGGCTCAGCCTGGGCCTCCCCAACCGGGACAAAGGGCTCCCAAAGCACCAAGAGCTGAGACCGGGCAAGCTGGTTCTGCGCTGAAGAGGCGGAGCGCGACCACAGCTGCTCCCTGGAGTCAGGGCAGGGAGAGCCAAGCCTTCACCGTGGCAGCAGTTGGGGGGCTTTAGAGGCTCACACCAGTCATCAGGAAAAACCTGCTCACGGGAGGGATGGGCAGCACAGAACGGGGCAGGTGGATCTCAGAAACCCCAAGGTTTTTCTACCTTTCAGCCAGAAGGAGGGCATGGGGTGAGCACAGCCCCGGGCTGACAGAAGGAAAGGCGCGGAGCCGGCGCAGAGCTGTAATGCTGGTTTTTAATGTTCCTAAGAACTAGGAAACAAATCAAAAATAGACTTTGCTCTTCTTGATAAAAGTAATAAAATGGTTAGCGGTGTTAAATTAATCCTTACAAAACAAAACCCAAGGAGGTTAAATAAAGCCCAGAGGCTCCGCGTAAAAACCACGACGACTACAAAACAGCTGCAAAGACTTTACACACCAAAGGAACTTCTCTGCTCCGCTCCTCCCCTATACGGTACACAGCGTCGGCGAACACGGGACTCACACAAGGGAAAGAAACACGGATGCGGTGGGAGCAGCCCCGCGAGCTGCAGCGCCACGGACATAACTATTTACACTATGGACACGGAGCTGCACTGGTGCCGCCCCGGCCGCAGGAGCCCCCGGGCTCTGCCCGTCCCTGTCCTGCCGGCGCTGGGCTGTGGGCGCTGCCAGGGCCCCTCCAGCCATGGTGCCGGTGCCGAGCTCTTGCGCTTCCCGCCCGTCCCTCCGTCCATCCCTCCATCCATCCATTCCTCCATCCATCCCTCCGTCCATCCATCCATCCGTCCATCCGTCCATCCATCCATCCGTCCATCCATTCCTCCGTCCATCCATTCCTCCGTCCATCCCTCCATCCATCCATCCCTCCATCCATCCATCCATCCATCCCTCCATCCACCCCTCCCTCCGTCCATCTATCCATCCATCCCTCCATCCCTCCATCCACCCCTCCCTCCGTCCATCTATCCATCCATCCCTCCATCCATCCATCCCTCCATCCATCCCTCCATCCATCCATCCATCCATCCATCCATCCCTCCATCCATCCATCCATCCATCCATCCATCCCTCCATCCACCCCTCCCTCCGTCCATCTATCCATCCCGCCGTCCTTCCGCCCGGGCGCCGCGGCTCCTCCTCGGTGCCGCGCTGGCTCCCGTGCCCGGCGCTGCCGGAGCCTCCCCTCCCGCGGTGCGCGGGCACTGTGCAGTTCGCAGGGGGAAGCGGGTGCCGCGGAGCTGCTGCGCAGGAGTCCCCTGCGGCCGGTGCCGCGCAGGCAGAGTCTGTCACTGCCCCCCTGCCATCGGGGCCGACGCGCCTCCCCTCTGCCTCCCACCTTGCGCCTTAGTTGGGATTAGTCTCCCGGCTGCTGCTTTGCTCTCGGCCCAGCTCCCGCTCTTTGTCCACTACGGAGGAGGAGGAGGAGGAGGAGGAAGAAGACGAGGAGGAGGAGGAGCTGAGGGTCCGGCCTGAATGCTTGTAGGCTGCAACGAGCTCCTGCAGCCGCTCCGGGGTGGGCTCCCACTTGGCAAAGCCTGCGCTGTTCTGCAGGAAGAGGATGGCCGTGTTGTGCACAGACTTGTAGTACATCTCCTCTCTGGAAGAGAAGACAACAGGCACTCAGCATCTCCAACTCAGGATGCACCCAGACCCACTGCCCAGCACCTGCCCTCCTCTTCCTGTGCCACATCCAGGACAAGTATACCCTCTTTTTCTGATTCTCTCATTACCCTGAGCACAAGAGTGGGCACAATGCAGTATCAGGCACTTCTGAGTAAAGGTAGAGGCTCATGAACTTTCAGAAGAGAAGCAGTGGTGCTGCACAGCCACGCCGCTCTCTACCAGCATGTGCAGGGGACATCACCGTCCCTGCAGAAGGAGACTTGTCATGCTAAGGTGTCAGTCTTAACCAGGTACAGAGAACTTCAGTGTTTGAGCACTTGTTCCTTAAACAAGCTGTTGCCTGAACTTGTTTCTTCAGCAGCAGACCAACAGCCAACTTGCTCCACTGAGCACTGAGATCCCACCTGCCCCTTGCTCTGCTTCCCCCAAGTGACTCTGAACACCACAGCATCTGGCAGCCCAGAAACTGCTGCTCAGCTGCTCCCCAGATCTGGCTGGTGGTGGAGCAGAGCCGATCCCCACAGCACCCCAGGTAGGACCTGGTCAGGCTGCACTTGGGCCAAGGAAGACACCACTCACAAGCCTGTTGTGGCAAAATACCTCAGCAGTCATGAAACCAACAGGAAATTCACAGCTGGGGGTGAGCCCTGCCCTTGTCCTTGCCTGCTCCCTATTCCCACTGATTTCAAGTTAGGCCGTTTCTGCCGCACGGCTCAGGCTCACGTTCCCAGAAGGATCCCAGGGAAAGGCCTACTTTTTGCAGACGTGCTGGGACCCGCTGCGGTATTCGTGGTCGAAGGCCGGCAGGCTGAGCTGGTGCCGCTTGAACTTGCTCTGCTCCATGCGGATCAGGGCTGTCGTGGGAGGGTCCCGCCACTCGGGGATGAAGACGATGAAGGACAGAGGCTCAGTGGAGCTCTCCAGCAGTTTCTGTTCAAAGAGAAAGGGAGCAATCTCAGTGCTGGCAGCGCAATGACGGACAGGACACAGTTCTGCTTCTAGAGCAGCGCTGCAGCAGTCACCCTCCTTCACCTTCCACATCACAGCCCTGCTGTGAGGCTGCGGGAGCAGTGGGGAGGACAGGACAGATGCAGCTCCACACGTGAGCAGACATACCTCAAAGTGAGAGACCATGGCATTCATCAGCTCCTCACAGAACGGAGGATTTACCTCGAAAGAGCCACTTACAGGAAAAAAATCCAGGCACGGGCTGGAGGAGAAGGCAAAGATTGCTGTCAGAGAGGCTGCAGTTCTAATTTTCATACCTTAAAAAGCATGTTTCCTCAGGAAAAGCAGTCATATTCTTGGAAAGCCCAAATCCCTGGCAGTGCAGAGTCTGACCAGGCATGCTGGTCCCTGGGGACACTCCACCAGTCCTCACTGCAGGTGATTGCTGATCTAAGCTGATCGAAGGCCCAGGTCTCCACTCTCCAGAACAGGGACAAGTGCTGGCAGACCCACAAACTGCATCACCCCAGGATGAGAGGCCTTTAGCCAGACCAATGCTTCGCAGCCAGTCTGTGCCCACTCACTGCCCTTCTGCAGCCCTGAAGCCACACACTCTCCTGAGCAAACACCACAGAACCAGCCCCGCATCCACACAGAAACACAGCACCAAACGTGGACTCACCCCCTGGATCCAAAATACCCGTCTGTATC